GAGAGAGAGAGAGAGAGAGAGAGAGAGAGAGAGAGAGAGAGAGAGAGAGAGAAACCCACACAGGCATCCCTGGAAGGTGAGGGCCAGCTTCCCTAGACAAGCGGCCATGAAATTCTTGATGCCCACCAATGGCTCACTCACCCATGGCAACCCCTGCCTCAGATTCTCTTCCTGAAAAGAATCACTGTTACTCCGTGGCCTTTTACTCTCCAGCTTCTGGCCACCGCCAGCCTGGTGTCCCCTGGGGTGAAATGAAGACGTTGAACACGATGCTCCTTTTATGTCCGTTAGCTAGAGGAAAAAAGAAAGTACAGGAGAAAAATGTGTATAAAGTCAAAATTTGGTGGCTGGCAAAGCCTTTTCTTTGTTTTATATGTCTTTTTTTTTTTCTAAGCTTCCTCTATCCCCTAAAGGCACCTCTCCTGAAAGTCACCTTAGAGACCACCATGGTACCAACCGCTGAAATACTAAATTTCTCCTTCACCTGCACAATTTAACTCAGTCTCCTTGATGGGTATTTTCCAGTTTCTCTGTTTAACTCAGTCTCCCCCATGCCCACCCACCTTCCTACATACTTAATGTGATGCCTTAGAATAATCTAGTAAGACATTGCTAATAATCATGAGCTAATTACTGAAACAGAGAGTCCACAGCGGACCTACCAGTAAGGGTAGCTTACCCTCTACCGTTCAACCCTGCCATTTAGTGGCTCAGGGATGTCCGGAGAAGAACCACTTTCTCTATTTCAAGTCAAAGAGACCAAAGCCTAAGATTATTCTCCCTTTCTGGTTTACAAGCACATCCCAAAAACTTGATAACTACGGCCATAAATCCTCTGTGACTTTAATAGAATTTTCTTTTTATGAGTTTAGACCTACCGCAGAGGAATCAGACCCTGGTACAAAAGGGAGCGTCTGTCTGAATTGCTTGGTTTACCAATAAAGAAAGATGCTCCTCCCGAGATACAAATACCTCCAACGCAGCAGCCGCCTCGGCGCTCCCCGGCTGGCGTCTCAGACAGCTGTGCGCCTCCCCTCCCTCGGAACGGTGGTAGCAATTGCATGCTGGCTGTAACCTCTTTGCACACAGCTCCTGACCCATAATAGTCCGGGTTCAAGGAGAAAACCCGCACTTGAACCTCTCCCCATCCGCCTCTCCTGTCCTCATTCGCTCCCTTTTTTTGCCAGAGGTCAGCAGAGTGGAGCTTTCGTATGACTCACACGAGGAGGGCTCTGTCTGGAGCAGCCTCATGACTTCAGCAGTTTTTTGCTTATCAGTGCAAGGAACTACGCATCGAAACCGCAGCGGCTGGCGTTCATATGTGCACACCCCAAAACAAGGAGGCTCTTACTGGACAGAATACCACTGGGCACACTGGCGGCTCCTGCTCCAGCCACAAGTCCTGAAAGCAAGCTACACTTGCTTTCAAGAATTTGCATTGACACACGTTTATTGGGCTCCCCGGGCACTAAAGAGGCCAGCCGAGGAGCATTTTATCCTTGCTTTCATCTGAAAGCCTCTTGGTTTTCAAACCTTTTTTTTTTTTCCTTTTGAGGCAATGTCTCCCACAATAGCCCAGCTACCCTTGAACTTGAGGCAATCCTTCTGCCTCAGCCTCTCCAGTTCTGAGACTGCAGATGTGAGCCCCCAGACTCAGGTTGGTTTTCTAACATTAAAACAAATTTGCAATCTAAGCCAACTTTTAGAGTCAAAGAAACCACAGGAAGGTAGGATGGGAAGAGAGCTGAGGATTCCTACCCCATCTCGGCCTCCGAGTTGAAGCACATCTCATAGTCTGACCAGAAAGTCGTTCTTTCATTTCTTTGAACACTACGTCATAAACACCTATGTTGCTAACACTCCACAGTGATGAGAATCAGCGGTGGAGAGAGGAGTTGGTGTGCACACTTGTAATCTCAGCACTGTGCAGGCTGAAGCTGGGGAGATGGGGAGTTCAAGACTAGCCTGGACTATGTAGAAAGATTGTTTTTCAAATAAAGAAGAAACAGAAGGAGGAGTGTGTGTGTGTGTGTGTGTGTGTGTGTGTGTGTGTGTGTGTGTGTACATAATATACCTTCTCATTTCCACTATCCCTTCCTCCCTTTAATATACATATAGTTAATGTTTAGTGTATGTAAATATCATATTAGGACTTAACATTTCCAGGAATCTGAATCAAACTGCTTTGTAGTCTGTGATCTTGGGCAGAACTTTTGTTCTGTGAGAGACTCATAATATTATTGCCATTGTAATATGCCAGTCACAGGATGTAGGCCTCATGTACACATGTACAAAAATTTCTCTGAGAAAAAAGAGCTTTGCCTATTATCACAACAGTATTATGGTTATTGAACATCTGGACTTTCAGACATTATTTTTTTTTGTTTTTTTTGTTTCTGTGCAGCTTTGTGCCTTTCCTGGAACTCGCTTTTTAGACCAGGCTGGCCTCGAACTCACAGAGATCCACCGGCCTCTACCTCCTGAGTGCTGGAATTAGAGGCTTATGCCACCACTGCCCAGCCCAGACATTAAATATTAGCTGTTATGGAATTTAATCTTGAGCATGTGTTTTAAGTTTTATTTCAAAATTTCTGCAAGAAAGTAAGGTATGGGGGTCCAAGCCTGTGTTTTCAGCACTTGGGAAACAAGCAAGAAGATTGCTATGAATTAGGGGCCAGCCTGGGCTACAGAGTGTCTCAGGACAAAGACAGGAGAGAGAGAGAGAGAGAGAGAGAGAGAGAGAGAGAGAGAGAGAGAGAGAGAATGAATCACTAGGTAAGAGTTAAGGCTAGCCTAGTCAATGATTTACTAAAATTTGAGACGTTTAGAAAGTAAGAAAGACCAAGGACACACACAGAACAGAGATGAGGCGTAAAAACTGCTACACCTCAAAACCAGTTAACACTTGACTGACATACAGCTAACTGAAAGATCACTTTTCCATCATAATACATTTTCACGTATTCGTTATAACACATTTTCTCAGAAGTGAGCCGGTCCATTGGGTACATGTCCGCACCACGCCATCTGACCTGAGTTCAGTGGGACCACAGATGGAAGGAAGGAACTGACTCCGGCAAACTGTCTCTGGAACTCCATGTGTGCACCATGACATACACTTAATTAATAAACTAAGATATTAAAAGAATTGAAGGACTCTAATTCTTTCCTTAAAGAAGATTGTGGATTTTGTCACAGACAAATTATGTCCTAGCTAAATGGGTGACACAGGCCTGGAGTCCCAGCACTCAGGTACCTGAGGCAGAAGGATCCTGAGTCTGAGGCCAGCCTGGACTACATATTAAGACCTTACTGAGAAACAAAACAAAAACCCTATGATCTAGGCCCGGATTAAGATAGTTTCATAGATTTCCGATTGGTGTGTGTATGTATGTTGGACAGCATTTCACGCTGTGTCCTGGCTAGCCTGGAATTCACTGTGTCGCTCACAGCAGCCTCCTCCAACTTGTGACAAGCCTCAGCCTCCCAGTTGCCAGAATTACAGGTGGCATATACCATGCCAAATACATTTAAACAATTTTTAAATGGCCAGCATTTGTGTTAGCTGAGGGGATTATAGAGTTACCTCATAAATGTGTTTGAAAAGAATATCTGATTCTTTTAATTTTTTTATATATGCCTGTGCGTGTGCGCGTGTGCGTGTGTGTGTGTGGTATAGATGGCTTCTTTCCTAAGGTTTAAATTGCTCTTTACGTACTAGAGAGGAAAACTACTGAAGGGAAACTGTAAAATGCTCAAAATTTTCAAAAATTAGATAATTCATGGTTTGCTGAAAGTCGAGGGGAAAAATCAGATGACTTTTTAAAGTGTTTCCTACCTGTGTCTAAAACGATCATTTTCGTTACCAAAGATTTCTGAATAAGGACAGGGATTGAGATGATAATTGTGCATCATGACCGTTGATGCTCCAGACCTTCCGCAGCCTGGTGCATGTCCTAGAGGCTGCCCGGCCCGCTGCAGGCATGCATTCGCACTGTTGCTGCTGCCCTTGCAGAGAAGAGCTGCCAGTATGAAGCTGATTGACCGTGAGAAGTCCCTGTGCCTGCTACCAGCCTAAAGGAACGGACCCAGACAGCAGCTCCAGGGCCAGGGCACTCAGCTGTGCAGCAAGAGCCCTCAGGCCAGCTCAGAATGGCTCACTCCTGTGCATCGCGCTCTTCCTGCCCCTCCAGTTTCCCCGGACTTGCATTTACCGCTCCTCCTCTTCTTCGTCAGCCTTCCTTCCAGGGAAGCTGGGTTAAGACAAATGGTAGCATCCGTTCACTCATTCATTCATTCATTCATTCACTTATTTATCTATCGATTTGGTGTTTTGAGAAAGTCTCATGTAGTGAAGACTGGACTTGAACTTGCTATGTAGCTAAGAACGTTGATGAATTCCTGATCCCCCTGCTGCCACCTCTGAGAGCTGGGATTACAGTTGTGTGTTCCACACCCGGGCTGCCTTTTTTTTTTTTTTTTTTTTTTTTTGTACTTAGCAATAAAACTGTAAGCTATTGATAATTTCAGCTTAGTTTCTCTATCATATTTTGGTGGTCGCTTTTCCTTTCTCAAATATTGTGAATTCAAATTACCGTGTTTATTTGAGTTTGTGTATTTCTCCCATTTCCATTCTGCTTTTATTAAATTTCATAATTTGGGAGGAGAAATATGATCTAATAATTTGTGGGCAATCACAGACGTTCCACAGCACTGTCGTGAAAAGTATGGTCAGAAATGTTGAAAATAATCTCTAATACCCACGTAATGGAATACTAAGGCTCAGGGCTAGAATGAGATCTTTACTTAATGACAGGGTGATCATCACGGTACACTGTTAAGTGAAGAAACAAAATGAAGAACGATGTCTGTAACATGTTACTCCTATCCTAAAGAGATGAGACAAAAGACGCCAAGGTGTTGTGGGGATTCGACCCATTGCATCAGCATCCCACTCTACCGAGGTGATAGCTCATACCTTGTAACCCCAGCATTTCGGTAGCCAAGGCAGGAAGATTGTCATAAGACTGATGATGGCCTGGAGAAATAGCAAGACCTTGGAGGGGTTTTGGGGGCGGAAGGCAACACAAAGGAGCTGGTGGTGTAAGTTTACAACACACAGGAAGACTGAGGCAGGAGGATTTCCAGTTTAAGGCCAGCTTGGGTTACATAGTCAGACCAGACACTCTATCAAAAACAAACCAAGTCAGACAGAAAACCCTACAAATTAAATAAATAAGACACAACAGACATATGTCACAATGTAACATGATAGATGATATTTTAGATTCTGATTCTAATAAATCAATTGCAAAATGACATTTCTGAGACCAGCACGAAGATTTAAACATCACATTTGGTTATTCTAAGAACTTATTTTTAATTGGCATGGTTATTAAAAACCATCCTGTAGTTGAAAATGCATGCTGAAGGACTTATGAGGGGAATGGGAATTTCTAGGCTTACTTTAAGATATTCCAAAAAAAAATTAATAATGCTGGGGAGAGAAAACACAAAATTATGAGGGTGGATGCTTATGTGTACATTACATATCGGTCTGAAAATGTCGCTATATATCAATACCATGTATAATGAATACACAGAAGGAAGACCATAATGTATGATGGTGTACCTGCTAATGTGGATTTGTGCATGTGTGCATGTGGGTGTCCATGTATATGGAGGCCAGAGGTTGATGTTTGCTGACTTCCCTCAATTGTCACCACTTTTATTCTTTGAGATATGGTTTCTTGCTGAGCCTAAGGCTTACTGATTTGTCTAGACTGGCTTTACTCACTGGGCTATCTCTCTCTCACACACACACACACACACACACACACACACACACATACACACACATTGAGTTTACAGGCCTGTGCCACCATTTGGGATTTTTTATATGGCTTCCAGGGATCTGAACTTGGGTCGGCAGGCTTCAGCTTTCTTGTCAGAATGAGCGAGCTCCCCAACAAGCTTCCCCACAAGGAAATTAAAAAAGAAAAAAAAAAAGATTTAAAGTAAGTAAATAAATAAAAATACCAGTCACCAATAAAGTCATAAAAGAGTAAAACAAGACAAAAATCCTACAAAATTGAGTAGGCAGAGGCACAAGGACTGTCACATGTTTTAGGCTAACCTGGTCTACATAGAGAGTTCCAGACCAACCAGGATTACATATTGAGACCCTGTCTCAAAA